GGGGGGGGGGGGGGTTGAAAGCAAATTGGTCATCTTTTATCAATGTTGGTGGAAGGGCATGTGCAAGGGGGTTGATATTTCTTGTAAGAGGGCTGCGATGGTGGTGGCGGGGAGGACGGAACAAAAGATAGCAGTGCCATGTGTGCATTTATGGCTAATGTAGCATCTGGTCAGCTGCTACTGAAAGTGCTTTTGTGTAACACTTTTTTCTGCCAGTGGCCGGATGCGACATTGGAGAATCTCTCTTCGCGACTCACGAGTCATGGGTACAGGTTACTTTTTTTTCTTTCGAAGACAATTGGAAAGAATGGTCAGTGATAATGGTGATTGCATGTCCGATATGACTCTTGTTCTTCCTGATGATCATGGGCCAGCTTTCGGTGATCCATTGGTACTAGTAATTACTGCAGCTTTTTTTCCATCGACTCCCAATCACTGACCTGGAATTCAGCACACAATGCAGTGAGGGGAGCAAACTCGGGAAGGAGAGAGAGAGAGAGAGAGAGAGAGACAGAGAGAGAGAGAGAGAGAGAGAGAGAGAGAGAGCGGGTTGCTGTCCTGCTCCCATAGAAGGATTGTGGCTAGGCTCCTGCGAAGGCGGCAACTGAAAATTAGTATTTTTTTAGATGCCGAAGATTGGCTACGTTACTGATTTCAAATTGTTGGTCGTGTAAGACAGTAGGTGGGTTCCCAAGAGGAACATTTGGCACGACAATAGTTTTGGAACGACAAATCTGAAAAATGTATGGTGTCTGACACTGTCTGTTTAGTTACGTGTGTAGTACTGTGTAGTATGTACACCATTCAGGGCCTCGTTGGACTACTCGCCGTCCGCCAACACTTCAAATGCATGCGGGCAGAGTCGAGTCTAAGATGCATCCAAAATGTTGCCGGATGGTGAGTTGTGCAACTAGGCTCTCAGGCGCAGGGCCAGCACCAGGTCCACCTTTTCTCCGTTCCTCGAACACTGTGTGCTAAGGGCCAACGCAGGGATTTGAGGAGTTCCACGGGGTCCGAAGGGGGGGCCCACAGGAGAGGCCTGTCCGTCTGCAACAAGGCTATTGCTGAGGGAAAACTGCCTGTCTAATGTACTACTGTGCCTATCTTCGACTACATCCACACTACCTTATTTTGGCTACTTGTTTTCACCCACGGCGAGAACGCTTGGTCATTATACCTCTATTTGGTTTAATTTTAGGACATTATACAGCGATAATGACCGGGTGTTCGTTTCGGATGAAGGCGGTAGTTGACTTGTGGACATCGTCAATGAAGTACTGGGCCACAATCTGTTTCTTTTATCTCTGCGGCGATACTACTGCCTGCGGGCCAAAGAGAACGAAGTGGTGTGGGGCTCCTTTTGGCTGGTCCGCCAGACATTTTGCACCGGAGGTGGAGCCCGGAAAGTTGCGGCTGCATGCAAGCTACCTTTTTTTTTTTTTTTTTTTGTTAATGCGAGATTGACTGCGCAGGTATTCAAATCGTTAGAACCAAGGAATGACACACTCTTGGGCATGGAGCCCCCTCTTTGGCCTAAACCTGACCACCAGATTGATCTCATCACCCTAGCGAGTCGTAGTGACGAATCCCTTTAGTCTTCCTTTCCAAAGGTAAGTTGCTCAGTAACACTCGCCACGATCCGAAGCTCGGTCGCACCCCAAAATATATCAGTTTTTCTACTGGCTCTTTGCTCGTTTGCAATCCACCAGCTGCAGTCCGACTTACTCTGCTTCATACCATTGCATGTCCACCATAGCCAAAGGGATCAGGAAAGTCTGAAGGTGGCTGCAGCGGGATCCCCTCGCCCACCGTTGTCCAATCTCTGAAGCAGATACAATAGTCTCTCTTGAGCACTCCCTGGTTGCATTCCTGGGTCCGTGGTTGCGTTCCTGGGCGCCGCCGCCATCCCATCTGATGAAGGCAATCCGGCCCCCATTCACACTGCCCAACCAGTACCCTGAGAATTGTTGGATTGTTTGTCTTATATCCTTCTGTGAATGAAATAGATCCAATTCGTTTTTAACTTTTTGCCATTGTACCATTAGTTCTTGATGTATATATTGTTTTATCATGTCCGCCGTCTTTTCCCCAGCTATGAGAATCACCTCGATAGCATGTATACAGCGTCTCCTCTCCTGCCATCTTAAACATAATGCTTTCAAAGGTACTACTACCCAAGGGGTAGGCCCATGCCTCACACTGTATCGCCCTCCAATCCCATGGCCAGGCAGATCCAGTGTCCAAACGGCTCCAGATCCTGTTATTAAATTCTTTGATCGGGAATTGTCCCGGTGGTTTTCACTTGTGAGCATCATTGTTAAACCGCGAGTACTTTTGACCCTCCCCTTGCCGAGCCTGGAAACGTCCTACACACCTAGCTTACTCGGGCGGACGTCCGGGACCCCTGAGGTTGTCCGGTCGGACAACTCCGCTGGACGTTCGTCTAGGACAACTTGTTTGCCGGTTTGGGGTCCAAGGCGTGTGGGGGAGGTTGAGGCCTACCGGTCCAGGGTCCATGCACACTTTATTTCGGGCCGGTAGGCCCTTAAGGTTCGAAAACAATTGGCCCAACCTGGATCGTCCGATCTCCGAGATCTGCGGCCCAGATTGGGCCATTTGGAAATTCACACTTAGTGTGGGTCCGCCCGTTGCCTGGTGGGCGATTTCGACGACTGCCGTCGATTGTTGCTCGTGCTGAAACAGCGCCGCCATCGCAAACGCCAAGAGGTGGTGACCCCGCCGTCTGCCAGCTTCCACCATCACCTCCCCCTACCTCCTCCGTCTCTTTCTCCTCCTCCTCGTCTTGTTGTACATCTTTCTCCTTTCTTCTTCCTCTTTATCTTCCCCCTCTTCTTCTTCGTCCTTATCATCGTCCTCCTTTCCCCCCTTTTTTTGTCCTCGTTCTTCTCCCTCCCCTTTCCTTTTTCTTTGTCCTTCTCCATGTCTACTTTCTCCTCGTCATCTTCCTCCTGTTCGTCCTCCTCCTCCTCCTCCTCCTCATTGTCGCCATCCTTTTTACCCTTCCTTGTCCTCCTTGTCCTCATCCCCCTCCCTTCTTGTTCTTTCTCTCCTCTGCCATGTCTTCTTCCTCCCCATCCTCCTCATATTCTTCTTCCTACTGCTCCTCCTCGTCCTTTTCTTTGTGTCGTCCTGGGAATCCATAGGGAACTGCAGTGGTTTGTCACACTCAAAAGACACCTTATGGAACAACATAGAGAGCACAATATCCTTTCCAAAGTCACAAAAAAAATCACCGTCACATGCACAAAGTGGTACCCCCCCACTTGATGGGAGCAAGTAAGGCACACATCTTAATGACATCTCCTGAATGAACCACTTTTGCGATATTCCAAAACTTCCACCAATAGTCCAAAAACCAGTTTCTTGATCTTTCTCGTCAGACTTTATCATAATCACTCTTCCATGCCATTAAATATTTTAACCACTTTCCATTTTAAGGGGTCTCTCTCATTGGGTCTTCCAGTTATCCTCCCACTCAAGGATGAACCTCCACATGACCCTTTTAAAACATCTTCCGCTTGAAGATGAGTTCCAATAAACAATCAACCACCTTCTTACCTGAAGGTGTTTCCATCATAAAACCACTCACAACTGAGAGATCAATTTGTGGATCCCCGTCACAACTCAACAATAAACATTCGGCATGGTAAAGCGATTGAGTCTCAAAGAGTCATAAATCCCTTAGGATTTTTACACTTTTTCATAAAACGTACTACACTCCCCTTCCTCCTACTTGGCCCCATCGCCTGCTCATAGGCAGGCCGCACGAGTATACCGAAAAGTAGACAACTTACACATTTTACATTCACAAACAAACATGAGATATATCTTGTACATCTCTCACGCAAAGTCATCACACACGAGGATAAAACCACACATGTGAGAGTGCTTGTGGTCGTCATAGACAAGGAATAGTCTAACAAAACTCTCAACTCAATATACACTCAAAGGTGGGATATCCCACCCAA